TAACGTTATTACATTCACAGGACAACTTTGAAATATAGCAGAGCCCTAATTTACCTGGTAAACAAATGAAAGGGCAATTATAGGTATACTCATAGGAACAGCTTCGAAATTAGCTTTAACGAGAGCATCCCAATGTAGGCCTCCACTGGCGACTGCCTAATAAATAAAATTTGATATTAGTGCATCTATCAAGCACCAAGTGAAATAACTGACGAAAAAGCATCCATAACCAGAGAATAAAGTGATGTTTTATTGAGTACGGAAGATCATTCTTGTTAGTCCTAGAACTAGTAAACTGATAAAAAAACTGAAAGAAATGGGCCTACGTAATATAATCAGAGCAGTAAAAATGTAAAATGCAATGCTCTTCCAAATTAATATTGTGAAAATGTATTTTTCATAAGTTGTGCAAGCAAAGTATACTTTATTTCAGCTATATCCGCAGAAAAAATTTCAAACAATAAATGTCCAATGAAGTTCTCTGGTCAAGGGGGCTTTCCCACTATAAAATTATCATGAATATTCAAGAAAATGTGGTTAACTACTACATTAACTCAAGTATCCATACCAAACACAACATACGGGTCACTTGCTATATGTTAACAATCCTTGTAACAGCCCAAATGGGAGCATGTAATTCCTGAAGTGAAGTGAGCATATTACCACAAGACCTGCAAAGGAAATGATGATTCCAAGTACTAGGGTTCCATTGACAGCACCAATTAAACGTTGGCTGCAATTAAAAACATCTTTGCAGTCAATATGCAGCAGAAGTGACGTATTTGTAATATGTAAATGCACATATATGTGAATATGAAGTTGAATCAATACAGTGTAGAGAGTGAAGTACCAACCTTCCAAAGTAGCATATACCTCCAAAAATCAAAGAGAACAAGGTTGCACTCTCCCATCTGCAATTACAATGCTGCATCAACACCAAAAAAAAAACATATAAAATGTGCTTGAAAACAATGCATGAGTCTTCTTTGTATGATCACACTGATTAGAAAGGCAAACAAGTTCTAATACTGGGACTTTAAGAAGGTTAGACTCCTYGTTCGTACAAGGGAATGCCAAGAAAATTGGTCAAGATGTCTGAAGAACGAGCCACATAAGCAACCAGAAGCGCATAGTGAATGAGAATGTATGACCAACTGCAAGTTGCAAAATATTATTGTCAGAATTAACAGACAGACTGAAGAAAAATGCTGGAGGCCATAATAAATAAACATATTAAGTATAGTGATGAATGGTTTATCACATCATTGCACAAGCAGCCACATGCTTAATTTTTTTGACCCCGTATCATTTCCATATCCATATGAACATTATAAGATTAATAGGGCTCACTGACACAAGTGTAAGTCACCAGAAATAAGTTTCCGTCTGTCATAATTGGTCTACTTAAATGATTTATTTTTCTTTAGCAGTAGCACTGCCTAAGAGTAAAGCGTTAAGGCATTGTTACGGTCTCTAATACAAACTTACCTTTTATTCATCCATAAGCTATATACAATAAAATGAATTAATCTTTTAATTTTGTTTCACTCATTATTTTTAAAGATCTTTTAATTTTGTTTCACTCATTATTTTTAAAGGTAAATGCTCCATAAAAATAGATCTAGTTGCGAACAAAAATTACAAATTGCACAATAAATAATATAACCATCATCAGCATGTAAGGCATCAAGTTGCTACTCATAGTTAAAATTTGGCAGAGATACTTGCGACATTTTGTCTCTACAAGTACATATCAAAATTCAATGTTTGGAAACAGATAGACATTAGAACTTAAAACAATTACATCTCTGCCTACCAAGAAACTTGAACGCCAACTGTCCCAAGAGTTCTCAAGGCCATCGATACCTGAAAAACACAACTCAAACACTTGGATCTCTAGGCTTATCACATACTAAAGATATTGCAATAGGAAACAATAAAATTAAATGGTCGCAACAAATCAACCTACATAAGCATAAAGCAGGAACTTGGAAAAAATTGAGAATGGAATACATTCGCAAAGGTAACAATATCAAATTTTTTATCTGGTTTCTCCTTTTATAGTTCATGCGTTAAAGTTTAATGTGTCCCTTCTTTCTTTTTTCCAGAATAGAAATCGAATGGAAAATTGTTCAAAATTCACAATAACTTTCACAGTACAAATTCTGGAACTTACTTTTGCTCAATGCTAGAAACTTTAGCATGCTTATTTTTCAGTAGGTTTTCTTATCCACATACTCCATTACTCAATTTTTTACAAGAAGAATTTCAATAACTTATTCTTCAGATATATTTGCACAATTTAATGTATAACAATGAATAACAGTACATCTTTGCAAACAAAATAATAAAGAACAGTACTTTACTTTCTGCTGGGAGAAGATCAGATTACTACGTTATAATCGAAGGCAATTTCCTATCAGAATTTTGATTTATGATATCATATCACCTTGATGGTTAACCAACAAGTTTAGATTATTTGATAAAACTTTTTTCCCAATGCTCAAGTTGAATAACAAGCATCCGGGGCATGTATTTCTCCTTGCAAAAATGGACATTTCCCATTTAACCCCAAAACTTTAGAAACAGAAAAGAGCTTACCAGAGACACGCCACCAGAACCCAGTTCGCACATGGTGTTCACATTGACTTCAGCAATTAGCAGTCCTGTCACAACCTGCATGGTTCAATTATGTAACTGATTATTCAGGACCCCAAATATGGGATGAAAGTAACCATAAGTTATAAACAAACTTTATCATATGGAAAAAATGCTATGCCATTATTAAGGTGGTGCTGCGGCTGTTCATTGTACTAAGCATATAAAGAATTGGGCTGAGAAATTGAGAATTAGAAACAATATAGCTTGTATTCATGGTCATCCTAAATCTCCTTCAATCTTGGACTTAAAACCTCTATTGCTGAACTGGATTCTTAGAGAACTTTAGAAACATAGGGCCTGCCTACTAAGGTTTTCTTTTTTGTTTGAAGTTTTTTTTTTTAAGAAAGAAATTATATGTTCAACAATCATTTCTTACTTCTTGTTCCCTCTTCGTTTTCAAAAAAAAATAATAATAATAAAAATGTACTTATAACCATTTCTAATGCTTCACTCTAAATATTTAAATTAGAGAAATAGAAGTTTCACTTCAAAGCAAAGTTGAGTGGTAAATAAGCTTAATTTTGGGGGGAAAAAAAGCAAAACCCTTATCAAATGGGATGCACAAAAATTTGCTTCCGGTAACTTCTAATGAGAAACAATAAAACTGGAAATAAGAAACAATAAATGGAAACGATAACAATGCAAAATAAGTCTCGGACCATTTTAGTTTATTGTGAACACTGTTTAATGCTTACAAAAACCATTTTTCAGATTAGTTTAGAAACTGTATCTATTATCATGAATTTGAAAATTGTCTAAAAATTCTATTTTTTCGCCACTATATAATTCTCTTCAAGTCTGAAGTATTTTCAGAAAAGTGATATACGATGGGGATCTTTTTTCTAAGTTACTATCAAAGGGCTAATAACATACCTAACCACTTTCAACAGGAAATTCTCTTTAATTTTCATTTTCTTTAACATTTCATATTTGTTGATTTTTACTGCTTGCATTATATCTTAGTTTAGTTAATTATAGTGAATCTCTCTTTCATACCTATGGACAACATTATAGAAAAGTTTGCTAAGATTTTATATATTAACATTTAATGCAGGAAACTAATATAGAGATGCTCTAGAATATATAAAGCGATATGCAACACATAAATCTACCAACAGACTACAGGAGAAATACCACAGTTCCTACTTTAAAGTAGTTCATTCTTTGAGCCCAACTGCCCAAGTAGGCAATTCAAGAGAGTGAAATTTCAAACAAATTGTGTCATTTTTATAAGGTTTTGCAATAAACTAAAAAATCAATAGAATCATTGTGAAACAATAATTGGACAAAATTTTATGGAATCAAACATAAAGAAATGATAGAACTGCACAATCACATTCTGATTTCTGACTGCATTCTATTGCAAACTTTAACTATACTATTAAAATAAGATTTTGATAAAAATAACAAACAAAAAAAAAACTTTAAAACATACAAGCTGCTGGTATAGCTTTACCATGTACACCCAACAAAACGTGCACGTAATAGCTGAGGCTAGAAATCCGGATTCTTGAGTTACTGCAGGAATGGCGAGGATCCCAGCACCAATCTGTATAATATAAAAAATCCTTGATAGAGATATAAAGGAAAAGATTATTAAGAGTATTTCCCCAGGACATATCCACGAAATCTTGTAGCATAGAAGTTATAAATAAATCATTTTATTGGTATAGAATTCACAACTTATTATGGTACATTAATATTAGTTTATAATTTATGAAAGCATTTTGCACTTACATTGAGGAGAATGTTTAGTTCCCTTTATCCTCGGATGTAAATGCTACAATCTTCTTTTTTAGTACAACAAGTAGGGTGTAAGATTGGTTAGATATAGATGCTAATTACCGCTGAGCTTAGCTCATATGGACGAAAATACTACAACTTATTCTAATGAAATATAGAGACATTTCTTAAGCAACAGATTCAAGTAAAATATTTTCAAAAAGAAAATTATACAGTTTCCAATATTGTCAGTATTAGAGTAATGAACTCAGAAGCTAGGTAAAAAGTCAATAACATAATTTTGACATGCTCAGAAATATTAACTATTCAAAATAGTGTAATATTAGAAGGAAAAGGGAAATTCAGGAATGAAATGCTTACTGTCGTCCCAGCCACCAGGAAAATCGCGCTGGATAAGCTTCCTGCCGGCCGAACCAGAACAGAAACCCAGGGCAAGAGGAATCAAAATTCAAACTACAATTAATTTTCAACTTCCAATGAAACTACGACGCCAATTTTCAAAAGAATCTCGAATCAAATAAGCAGAGGGAACCGAAAAATCACCAGGTTCTCGCTTGAGTGTGACTTGATTAAGGTTGGAGAACAGCCTCTCCAATTCGTACTGTTGCGATTCTTCTTCCTGGACGATTTCCTTCTCTTCTCCGGAGACAGTGGACTCCGCCGGCCGTCGCGAGAAGCAGGTGACCGTAGATCTTAATCTTGGACGAAGAACCGTGGGCCGACGCGGTCGAAGTGACTCGAAAGACCCGAGGCAAGGCGCATTCTGCTTCGGCAAATCGAGGCTTCTTCGAATTACAGGAAATGTAAGCCGGAGACAGGAAGAAATCGCCATTTCTGACTTCTTCCGTGTCTGGACCAGCGGGCGATTATCGAATTTCGGCGAACAAGCAGAAGAAGAGTGATTGCTGAGGGGAAAATCGAGTTGATTGTATGAAGAGCGGGCGGGACGGGATGAAGTTGAAGAGGAAACCGAGAAGGAGAAGCCATGGCTATGGAGATTGAAGAGCTTCAGGTTGGGCCCCACTGAAGAGAAAAGAGATAACGTGGGACCCACGCTACGTGTTACACCGTTACTGTTGGTTCTCCAGTCCACCACGCTCAACCAAAAAAATAAAATAAAATGTTAATTTACAAGTTTCGTCTTCGTTATTGTACATTAGAATTCTTGTTTTAGTTTAAATTCAATTTTCTTTGTCGGAAATTAGTTTTGGTTCATTTTCGTTTCTATATTTTTAAAACATTTATTTATACTCAATTTTGATTGATTAAGAGCATGTATGAGATAAGACCAATCGAGTTAAATAGAATGATCTAAGTGAGAATTACGTTTTGAAGAATAACAAATATTCTAATGTTCAAATTAGTCTGTTTGGGAGAAAGAAGTCTGACTGCCACGTGAAGGACGATGATTCGTTATTGGAAATTGACCCAGATAACATTCTAGGCAGTTCCACCTCGGATCCTCCCGAGATGGAACACGATCGTTTTCTCCAAAAGTTGAGTTACTATCTCAAGAAAAAGTGTCCGAGTTAGATCTGTTCGAACCCGACATGTCCAACTTCAAATCCGACCAAGATAACCACTTGTCGGAACCTAAACCTATAAATAGAGCGCCTCATTTCACTATCAGGTATAAAAATTCTCCTCAAACTTAATATTGAGTCCAAGCTACTTACTGACTTAAAGTATCGGAGATTTTGCCCTCTTGTGCAGGTATTCCCTTAGAGTTTCAGGTCGGAGCAAGGACCGAGTTCAAGTTAGATCAAATTTGATGTTGTGCGATTCATTGCATAAACATAGTGAAAATATGACTTATAGCTATCGAAACAATGAATCAGATTGCACGCACTTACTCATGGAAGTGATTGATTATTTAGAAAGTTGGAAGTGGATCAACGACTCTGATCTGTTACATGGTTGCCACAATTGGTTAGACGATTGTAGAAGGTGAGATAGTTGATGGGCATAGGCCTTAGCACAGACTCATTAGGACTCTAATCTTTCAATGAAGGAACTCTTATTGATCTTGATAAGTTAGTTACATCTGTATGGCTTTCGAACCAAAAAATGTAGATCATGAGGAATGGCGTTTTATGGTGTGCTATGTGGTAGGTCATATTTTACCCTTCAACAATTTTGAGATTATATGAATTGGCAAGGATTTACAAATCAAACTGTTTTAAATCATTTCCAAGTATTTGGTTGGAAGAAAAAATAAAAAGAATTTGAAATCTAAACGTTTTGGGTCAAAAAATTTTGGTTCCAAATATGTCGAATTTGGAATTAAAACCCACGTGAGTCCAAAATCCTGGAGAAAATGCATATGGATTTCTCTACCTCTCTTCTAGAGTTGTCTTTTTGGATCAACAATTTCAAATCACAATCTCTTGGTTTAAGGTATATGTCAATTACTGCTGAACTATGCTCATTGTGGCGGTTGATATTACTATTTTATATTGAAATATTATATTATTATGAATATAATGTCATACAAAATATAACATGTACTTCATTTTTCTTTCCAGTAAACCCATAAAAAGAAAATTTTAGTTTCAATAATTTGAGATATATTAAGAATTTGAATTTGTTTTCATATTCTAATATTTTAGAATTCGAAATGATTTATGACTAATTTCAAAAATTAAACGGAACATTAATCTCAAAGAAAAATGTTGACTCAACTCATGGTGGCATGTTGCACGTGCCAGCCAAAAAGTCTTAGAAATCTATATTTAAACACACATGCATCACGTGGTAAGAATTGTTGCCTTTTCAAATCAATAATAAAAGAAATACCATATCCCTTATTATTATCCAATATTATTTTGATGTATGTAATTTTTAATTTTAATTTTGTTCATTTTAATAATTTCATGGTGTCTATTTTAATTATTGTAATTTTTAAAAGTCACCCATTCAAAATTTTAATACAAATTTTATATCTAATAAAATTTTTTAATATATTAAGATATTTAGTGATTTAAAGGTCATACTACAATTATAAAATAAAAAAATAAGATAAAATATTCACTTTTGAAAAATATAATGGCCAAATAGACGTTTGGCCGTCAAAAAGTACCCAAACTAAATAAAATTAAAAACATAGGAATTAAAATAGACCTTTTAGAAGCGATGGATGCCAAAATTAACAAAACGTAAAAAAAAAATATATATATTATGACCAAAATACTATTTAAATCAATAATTTATACAATGTAAGAAATTATCTCCTCTTCAAAAAAAAAAAAAGGTAAGGAATTATCCACAAACAAATTGCTATATCCTCGTTAGTTCTTACCTACATTCAAGGGGAAAACAAATCTTTGATTGCTTTTTTTTTTACGACAAATATTTGATTGCTAAATTTGTGTCTTTTCACAATTCTCCAAAAATTTAAAAACTGTTTGATTATTCAAATAATCTTCGCTATACCCACACCATTTGATTGGCGAATCAATAAATATTCTCGAGTTTTTAAGTACAGAAAGGAAAAAAGGAAAAAACTTTATGAGAAAATTGTCTGTCCAAATCAAAATGGAAGGCTCTCTCTACCAACCCAATTCCAAGTTTTCATTGGCGGGAGTAATGCTGGGGGAGGGGATGGGGCCAAAAACCCTGAATTCAGCGATATTTATACGAACTCCGAGAAATGCCATGAAAAAAACGCTACCCAGAATGCTAAAGCTTCGTCTTCATCTTCTTTCTCTTCGAAATTCTTCAATTTGTCGTCTCTGATCATCTGGGTCCGTTGCCGGTGAACAAATTGGAGCCATCATCAATGGCTTTCTGTACTATCCCTTTCAATTCGCAGCTCCAATTTCCTGCCATTTCGTTTAGGAAGAATTTCGCCTGCAATTCTGTTGGGTCTCACGGTTCGTTCGCTTTTCCCTCGAGGTCGAAGAATCGGAAGAGTTCACTCATCCAGAAGACCGCCATAACATGTAATTCCACCGCTTCCAAACAACAAGTCGAGGTGAAATTCTGGTTTCTTCTGTTGAATGCGATGACATTTTAGTTTGTTCATCGGTTTAATTTGTGAAAGTGAGTTGGTTTTTGCTGGAGATTAGATAGTTTATAATCCTGATGAAAGGATAAACAAGTTGGCTGATGAAGTGGACCGGGATGCTCCTCTTTCGAGGCTCACTCTGTTCTCGCCTTGCAAGGTAACAATGGTGTTGCCTCCAAGTTTTGCTTCGTGATGGTGGGTTAGGGTTTTGTTTCTTCTGCCAATTTTATATGTTAAGAGTGTTGGTGATGCAGATTAATGTTTTCTTGAGAATAACTAAGAAGAGGGAAGATGGATATCATGATTTGGCATCTCTTTTTCATGTAAGTAATGGAATTTTGTTATTTGATGCTATTAGATGCAACAATTACAGTAAGTTGAAGTTGGGTGAGTTTGAGAAGCTTTTTCAGAGTCTTGCTTATAAGTGAAACACTTTCCATGCTTGTTTTTAGGGTGTGTTTGGGAGTGATTTCGACATTATCAAAATCACATTTACATTGTCAAAATCACTTTTTTTTTTCATTGATTATGTTCGGCAAATTAAAAAATTGATTTTAGAAAAGTTTGAAATTACTTTTGATTGATTTTTAAGGTATGACTTGGATGGTGATTTTGAAAAATCAATTATACTTAAATCTTTTTTTTCTAAATCACTCATTCTACCCTTACTCCCAAACACCAGTATCTTTCAAAATCACTTCTGATCGTTTTTTTAATTGGCTAAAAACACTTGTACCATTATAAAAGTCTTGTTGAAGAAGTTTCAAAGATAAATAACTTTGAGGAGTATGTTCTATTTCTCTCGGTTGCTGAGTTTTGGGTGTATCATTTTTCTCTCTACTTTAGGTGATAAGCTTAGGGGATACAATTAAATTTTCGCTGTCGCCATCGAAGAAGGACCGTCTTTCTACCAATGTATCTGGGGTACCCCTTGATGATAAAAATTTGGTAATTGTTCTTGCATAATGCTCTTGTTTTATTTCTTCTGATTTTCTTCGTTTGTTTAACTTATTGGTCTACCATATATCTGCAGATCATAAAGGCTCTTAACCTTTACAGGAAAAAGACTGGCAGTGAGAATTTTTTCTGGGTGAGATACTGTGAAATGATTGAATATCTTTAATGAATGCCACAAAAAATTCTGCCTGTATGAACGGTAAATGTCAGTTGAAATGATTGGGGTTATGCTTTTATACAAAAAATATGAGCAGATCCATCTCGACAAAAAGGTACCAACTGGAGCGGGGCTTGGCGGAGGAAGCAGTAATGCTGCAACCGCGCTGTGGGCTGCCAATAAGTTCAGTGGATGTCTTGCTACTGAGAAAGATCTTCAAGAATGGTCAAGTGAAATAGGATCTGATATTCCCTTCTTCTTTTCCGAAGGGGCAGCCTACTGCACCGGGCGAGGTGAAGTATGTCTAACAACCACATGCTCTAATAAGAAAGAAATATGCAATTGATTTTGGAAATGCCAATTCTTTTCTCACCTTCACATCAACACAACAAAAATTCAGAAACTGTTCTCTTGATTCAGATTTGATAGAATGAGTGTCTTCTGTTTTGATTCATAAGTGAGTGGACAAACCAAGTATCTTTATATGAGTACTCTGATAGGCCCCTATTAAGAACATGTATTTCATGAAGAAGATAGCGCGTGAGGATTGAGTCGAACTTTTTGGTGGGAAGTTTTGGGCCCAAAGTAGTTATCGTAAAGGTTGTTTCAGGTATTTTATGTGTGTGTATCGGCAGTAGGAGAGAGAGGGCTATATTTTTGGCTAAGTTGTTACTGAGGTAAGCAGATAGGTAAGGAATTCTCATATTTCCCTCTTGGCTCCAGAATGTCAATAAAATAGGATTGGTTCCTATCATACTCTTGCTCACTAAAGTGAACAAAGATTTCCTTTTAAAGATTCATGTTCTATGCTCAAAAACCTGCTTTCTTGTCTCCTTTGGTTGAGTACTGTCCACTATATTCACATTATAGTAGTTCTGTATGCATCAGCTCGAATAGTTTGATTCCCATTGCTCGTTCTGAATACCGATGAGCTTGCGGTGACCCTTTCGTGATGGATGATCATACCAGGCTGGCATTTGAGAAATTTTAATGTGATTCTCTTTTATCAGGTTGTACAGAATATTCCACCTCCAGTACCCTTGGACGTTCCAATGGTTCTTATAAAGCCCCAGGAAGCATGCTCTACTGCTGAAGTTTATAAGGTAGAGGAAATTTTAGTATAAGGTGGGAGAAAAATGAGAATTAGTTCTTATTTCCGTCGCATAATCAAGGCTGATTTGTATTCCTCAGCGCCTACGGCTGGATCAAACAAGCGGGATTGATCCTTTATCGTTGTTGGATCAAATCACAAAGAATGGAATATCCCAAGATGTGTGTATCAATGATTTGGGTATGTCAGTTTCGGTGCATCGGGTTTGGTAAATTAGTGTCATAAATTATATGCTGCATAATGAACCTTTTGCCTTAGAACTACATTCTGTTGTATTTGTTTCAAATCTGACATTCTTTCTTCAGAACCTCCGGCTTTTGATGTCCTCCCGTCTCTTAAAAGATTGAAACAGCGTATAATCTCTGCCAGCCGTGGAGAGTTTGATGCCGTTTTTATGTCTGGGAGGTAAGAACGTTAAAACAAGAGACGCGTTTTCTTTTGTTGGCAATAAGACATCATTTTTCTGGCCATATCTGATGCCATAATCAGTTTTTCTGGATGTTTATATAGACAATGTCACTCTTTTCTTATTCTGTTGTTGATATTTTGGTTAGGTAAAGAGAATTAGTATATCTTCTCACCACTTCAAATTTCATTTCATGCAGTGGTAGCACAATTGTAGGGATCGGGTCCCCAGATCCTCCAGGCTTCATATATAATGATGATGAATTCCAGGATGTATTTTTGGCAGGTAACAACCCGAACCCGAAACTTCTCTGACTAGTTTCCATGATATTATTTCGACCCCGTGCCACCACCGATGCACAAGTCCTTGTTGCAGGGACTTACCCAATAGGCCACTACCGGTTAGAGAAGCTATGTTCATTGACTATTTTTCTAGTACCGTCGTTTGCAAACTCATAGAACCCAAACAACTATTAATATAAAAGATAGAAGAACTTACAATATAACCTCAAGTATTTCCAATACTTGGAAGTTCCCCTCTCTTCAGATACCTCAAGCCTAAACCAACTAAAGAATTGTCTACCTTCATCCATTTCTTATCGCTCTATTTATAACGAATTCCTTCTAACGAATTTCAATATATCCTTTATTTTATTAATGACCCTAATCATCCTTGGAGGTCATTCCTATCACAAGCTATGCTGCAATACTTACATGACCAAAAGCTTAACAAAAATATGACTATCTCGTATTTGAAGAACGTTGCAGCCTAAAATGCTTATCAAATTAAAAATTTAGTCGAGAAGTGATCTGACTGATAGTTGTGTGGTGGTTTTGCTTGGTATAAAGGGCAGAACTTGCTGAAAGGTTATGTTTCATCTCGTATATCATGTCAGGGATCTTAGAGTGAGTTTGGGATGGCTTTTGAAAAAAAGTACTTTTTAATTTACTTTTATGAATACTTTTAAAAGAAACATCTTCTGAGAGCACCTTAGAGTATTTTTGGAATTTTTAAAGCCACTATTTTTGGAATTTTTAAAGTCACTTTTCATCGACTAAAAATAAAAATACCTTTTACTACTCTAAAAGTCATCTCAACTCACCCTTCAGTGATTTTTAAGGTCGTCTATTACTTATCTTCAATGTGGTGAAGATTATGACTACTTCATGCAAAAGATGGATATATATTTCTTTATGATAGAATATTCAAGAACTTGTCGAGGATGAACCAATCTAGTTAAGATACGGCGACATACTACCGATTATCCACGATTCTCCAGTGTTCGATTAATTTTTTTTTGGATACCTTCTCTATTTCCAAATGTTCGGATGGATTCTTATCTGAGAAACTTTGAATGCAGAGGCGAACTTTCTCACTCGTGAAGCTAATCAATGGTATCAAGAACCCGCTTCGGCATCAGCCTGTAGTCCGCCCTCCGAGCATCTGGATTCGGCTACATAACTTGACCCTTCTAAGATTAAGTAGAGTTTCAGCTTATGTCTCTTCAGTCTGATGAGAATTCCAGTCTGTATGACATGAAACCCCCTCCCTCCCTCCCTCCATTGGTTAACTTGAAAAGTTATCTTTAAGTTCTCATTCTCTCCAGCAATGCCAATAAAATGTCAAAATTGTTGGCAGGTATTGAAGATAACAGTAGCATGAATATGAGCATTAATAATAATGATACTTTTTTTTCATGATTTTTGTTAATCTGGAAAGTTCTTTAAGAATTTATGTGGTTTTCATGATTTTTACTGCATCTATGGGTAATGGAAAAGATTAATCCAAGAAGTTTTTAGGCTTTAAGAAAGTGACTCAAACCTTTCTTTTGTTGAAGGCGGGAAGACGAAAATGCCCTTATATTTTAAAGAAATGGTTTAGGGTTAAAATGAATACAAATTGTTCTTGAAATCTTGATTGTTCTACTTGGAGAATTATAACAAATAAATAATTGGAAGTAACTAAAGTTGATTTCGAATTTTTTCTGGTGCGATGAAGATTTATATAATTTAACCTAAGATTGCATTTATCTCAATTGAAATTAAATGAATCTCAAAGTTTTAAGCAATCTCAACTGAAATTACATGGGATTCATGCAATCTCAACTGAGATTGGTGAGAATATCGTGAGTTTGACTTTAGGTAAAAAATTATTAACGAGTTCCTGTGTTACAAATTTCCACAGTTTCCTAAAATACACCACCAAAAATTGAAAAGAAAAATTTATATGAAAAGAATAGAACAAATGTTTCAATTGATAAAAAAGCCTGGTGAGTTCAATTTTGTATATAATGTATGAGATAAAAATGATAAAATTACATATAAATAACATCCCCAAAGGTCAGAAAATCTTATTTTCAAAGCGTGGATCAATTATCCAAAACTAAAGAACTTTTCAAGTCACTTTTTAAAATTCTCAATTGATGCCCCGATATTTTTATAAATTTGAGTACTCGACATTCCTAAACAGGCGCCTAAATTCCCGAGACGACCAAAGATATTCATCCATTCAATTTGAAATGTATATATTATACTTTCAACCTAATATTTTGGGGTAAAAAAATGCACCCAACCCTCAAACAATATGACTTCTAGAAACATTTACCAAATAAACAAGCAAATTCGATCAAACTCTTCATTTTTCATTTTCTTGCTTTCATTTCATTTTATTGTCATAATTTTCCTCTTACGGTGGAGAAAACACAAACTGTCTAGGAAAACTAAAAATATCCTTCCCTTCAAACGGAGAACTCCACTCTCTAGAACCATTACCTGATGTTTCAGAAGCCACCCCTCCGTTTTGCAATCCTGCAATTGAAACTCTGTTGTTGAAGTTGGAGGCTGCTGCAGGCACAAATGGCTGAGCATTCGACAACTCGTAAAGGTGGCCGTTCTTCTGCATATACGAATTCAGCCCCTGCAACAACCCGCTGGGTCTTACTGAACTTAGACCTCTGTCCACGGACCAGTCGATGTCGGAGTAATCTAAATGTGGCATTGAGTTTCCGGTGCTCCAATCCACTGGCGACGATGCCCCGGATTGGGTTGAGCTTGCTCCTGAAAATAGTCCGAGGGAGGAAGCAGCAGCTATGGAGGTTGATGAACCTGTTCTGCTCCATGAAGCATTGGTGTAGGTGGGTTCTAGGAAATCCCCACGGCTATTTCCAGGGGCGAAATGTTGTTGTTGCTGCTGTTGCTGCTGAAACTGAACTTGAGGATACATTTGGCTTAAAGTCACGTCGCTGGGCTTGAAGCTTCTTGCATTGCGCATTTGCGGCAAAAATCCACCGGAAGGGGATTTTATATTTGCAATGCCATTGGTAGAATACCAACCACCGGGAGGTGATGAACTTATAGTACCAACTGAAGCCTGTTTTGTGTGCAAAGATGGGTTCCGGCCCTGAACTACCGAAGTCGGTTCTCTCGCTGGACCAGATTGAAGGCTATTAAACTCGGTTCCAACTGTGAAATAACGAGGCTCGTTCTTGATTGGTGGAGATGACAACTGGGTGGACGCTGATGCTAAAGAGAAGGAAATGGGGCTAGTTCCTGTACTCGGCCACCTTTTCTCAGCTGCTGTGATTTGTTCATAATTTCCCCATTCCATCTTTGGCTGAGTCCTCCTCAAAGGCTGCGGTATATTTTTGCCAATAGTTTCTATAGACGTACCGGCTGTAATTGCTCCTTTTGTGTAATTAAAATCCTTTTCATCCTTCCTTTGTTGTATAGAAGAAGGATTGGGCTTTGCTTGTGGTCTTATGGCTTGACTAGTATTGCCAGGGAACTTATTGCTTAAAGCAGTGGGAGGATCACCAGTTTCTTCTGGCTTAGGAGAAGCCGCGGGCGGATCGAGCTTCAATTCTCTCAAGGATTCAGCTGCCTTCTCAAGATCACCTTCACAAGCAACAATAGCTCTCTCAACTTCTTGTTTTGTACACTTGTACTGTGATTCCAGGTCTGATATGCGAGCAAGCTCTTCTGATATGTCAAGTTTTAAATTTTGCCCACCAATATTTTGATTCTCCGAATCATTTGGCTCTTCAACACCTTCAAAAAGCCATGAAACTGACTCCTCTAGTTTGCCTTCATTCAGTATTAGTGCTAAGGTTGCCCGATCATGTGAAAAACCCATAGCTACTAATTGCTGAGCAAGAGCTTCAAGCTTTCTGGACATAAGGTAGCCACTACAGCGTTCATGCAATTCTTGAGCACGTCTCTCTTTCTGACGCTGATGCTTCTTCTCATTCTTCTGACGAATTTTCTCCCGTTTATCAATGTCTGCCCCTGGAATTGTTTCTTGCCGTGCAGTAGCGTTAGATTTTTTGTCTTTATGGTCCTCTGACTCCCCAGACCAGCTACCATTATTAGAAACAGTATCATACTCTGCCACTGAAGAAAGTAGAACTCCAGATTGAGCATCCGTATCATCTATGTTCTTGAATCGACCATTGGAATGAAGAGGTGGAGCAACAGAGACTGTAGATTCAAGTGCATGGAAGGTTCCTGAGAGAGGATTATATGCACTAGCTGGAACACTAGTACCACCACCAGCAGCAGGCCCTGCCGGCTTTGGTGTAGGCTTCTGTTGCTCTTTGCTGGCTTTCTTCTCTTTTGATTTTGATTTGGATGCTGGAGACATCTCGATATCCAGAAACTGCCTTCTGAAATATGAAATACACAACATAAGATTTCTGTAACAATCTACAACCCGATAATGCATAATTCATCTAAACAGATAAATGACTGGATTTGACATTCTGCAAGCAACTAGAATATGATATAAATACATGTAACTCCATATACTTAGATCTGAATACCAATTTTCCATGTAATGTGAAAACTATGTAAACACTGGACACATGAGAATGTAAGATACTTTACAAAGGAACACACACATAAACAGTATAAAAATATACATGAAGAACTGCTTATTTATACTCTTAATGTTTGGTTAGCAGTTAGCACCTTTTAAATCAAATCATTACTTGTGACACTGCTTAATCTACTTACCCATTGCACTTTTTCCTGGAAAAATATAAACTGAGCACTGTCGTATTGTGAGGTAGCAAAATCTTCACTATTCCAATTAATTATTTATCGAAGCCTAGTAACTCATCTCTTACAATCACAACATGGACATGAGATTGCCAAATATAAGATTCATTATTGAATAAGAAAAAATTATACTTGAAATTGTTTAAGGTTATTTATTCAGGTACGAGAGAACACTAACCCAGCCCAAGAAAGATTACAGGAAAATCATCCAATTGACACCCAAAAATGACGGAAGGGAACATATAATTTACTACAAGTCAGAGCAACAAGAGATTTCTCTTCATCGTTAAAGACCCTTCAATTTCTTTGAAGCCATAAGTTCCAAAGAAGGCTGTAACGAACTATAACTGCAAAACTTTTATCTCTCACGTAAAAGGGTGACCACCAAGTGTGATCCCTGTGGAGGCCATTGATGTTTATGGGGAGAGCAGTTTGCCAATTAAAAGAGAGAAGGATTTGGTTACAGAACAGTTTAGAACAGACCACCAACTAATTAAGAGAGTGTCCAACTATTACAATAAAAATAAATAAATAAAACAAACTATTCCATACACTAAAATCAAATGCAACGACTATACACTCCAGAAGAAAACTTATGTGCACTGAATTATAAGACCAACTATAAATATATTCTAAAAAGGCTATTCCAAATCCAGCACAAGAAGAAGCATTCCAACACCTCAGACTGCCATCCATGGATAAGCAGAACGATTTAGCCTCTTTTTTTCCCCTCAAAAGCAAAGAGTATAGTCCTTAAATATCTAGCAGTATCAATAGCAGGAGAAACAGCAAGCATATACTTAACTGAAACTACTATACGAGATAAGGGAGCCTGAAATATTCTAAAAGGCGTGATAGAACAACCTCTCGTTCATTTGTAACATTGATTGGAAAAGAAATCGAGACATACAAAGAATGGCCAAACAGAAGCCAAAAGAAAGGCAGAAGGATGAGGAGTTCATGAAAAGAAGAACAATAAAAACGAGAACAATAAAGTAAAATTCAAAACCCAAAGTTCATCCTAAGTTTACGCGCGACATTCAAATTAGTTCCAGTTCCTCCAAAAACACAAACATTCAACAACAAACTAAAAAACCAACGCGACTACGCCCAACACACGACTGAAGATTCAACAGAGCCAGAGAAGACAGTAAAAAAAGCAACAAAATCCACGAGATACACAAACGGCAAATTCGAACTCCCGAGCTGCCCAAATTCAGCAAGAAAACTCCAACAAAAACGCAAATATATCATACATCCCAACGCCTGAAGTTGACCGAAGACGACAGAAGGGAAAAAGAAAAGAGAAACTGGAACACAGTCGCGGGAGGGGAGCAGATAACAAAATCTTCCATAACAGCGAGTGAGAGAGTAAGAGGAGCAACCTTGGAGCTTGAACAACGCTTCTGCGTCCTCGTCGTGTTCTTCGGTAGATCGAGAAAGCAGGGATGAACGATAATGGTGAGGAGAAATGGGATAGGTATCACAAGGCTGAAGCTGAATCAGATGAAATTAGGGTTTTGAAGAGAGAGAAAGAAAGAGAGAGAGAGAGATTTTGATAATTCCAAATGCCAATTAACTGAAAAGTGGACTTCTGAAAAAATTTTGACACGAATTTGTGTACACGAATATATATAGTATACAGTATACATGTTTTATAATAATAATATTTGAATAAATTTCTTTGTAAATAATATTATTAGATTTAAAAACACTTTTCTTAAATTTAAATGATCATTTACTCCTTAAAATTTAAATTGTAACGATTTAGTCAAAATATTGGTATATATCTCCAACCAGTTATGAATTCGAGATTAGATCCTTGTAAATTAAAGTTGAAAAATATTTTTAATATTTTCCAATCCAATTAGCTAGAATTAAAATTTTGTTTTTTGAGTTTTTTCTTTCTATATTTCTATTTAAGAATGAAAACCTATGTGTTTGATAAGGTTCTCTATTTTATTTTTTAAAATGAGGGGATTAAATTTTGTTTGATAAGAAATTTATTATAATGATAATAATCAACTTGTAATTTTATTTTTATTTAAAAATCAAAATTTATTCTTTTCTCTTTTATGTTTAGCTTATAATTTTCAAATTTGACATTATACTTGTATAAATAAAATATTAGAGACGTAAAAAAAAATTCCTAAAAAAGAAAAACAAACTGAGAGAGAGGAGAAAGATAAGTTAGAGAAAAAAATGGGTGAAACTTTTAAAATTGTAGTGTATTGTTATCTTAAAAATTTTAAATAATATTTAGTTGAATATCAAGAAATCATGTTTTTTTTTTTCACAGAATTGAAAAAAACAAAAAACAAAAAACTTATCGATTAATGCCTATATATTTACTCTCGAATTGTCAAACATATTAAATGTAATTCAAAAATTATTGTTAAACAACATTCTATTGAAATGCTACAACTGTGGTTTTAAAATTATAAAACACTGCAAAAGATAACTTGTTCATATTCACCAAAATTTAAAATTTAAATATCAAGAAATTTGTATAAGCTAGTTTAATTAATAATTTATAATCAACAATCGATTGGTGGACTCACCTGAACCTAGCTGAAATCGACAAGCGATTATATCATCGATAAGGAAGTCGGAAGTTCAAATCTCTATTTAACTAAAATAATAATAATGGTATGTTTTGGATAATCTAAGGATTAAGTAAATTTTACCTTAGTCTTAAATTCCTTAAATGCTAAACATTTTCTAGAAACAGATGCCCTATATGTATCTATCTATTCATGGTTTTTGTAATTATAAGTTGATATCACCACTTCCCAAACTAAATAATTATATATATTATGAGTATTTGACGATACAATAACGGTTATAAAATACTTTTGATTTCTATATCGAATAACGATTTAGTCGGTAAACTTTAGCTGGTAAATAAAAACATTTGAGTCCCTGAATTTTAGTTTGTAACAATTACGTTCTTTAATGGGTAACACTTAGTTATTGAACTTTATTACGTAACAACTTAGTCTTCGTAGTTAACCATTTGTAATAATTTAATCCATACCATAAAACATCTCATCAAAACTAAGTATCGATTGTTATCACGTAACAATTTAGGTTTTGTAGTTTGTAAATACATTTGGTTCTTCATCATTTTATGGATATACATATATAACTATAAGAAACCTCGCTAAATCTTAACAACATTTTTTAGAGGTTAGATCGTTACAAATTTTAATTGTTACATATAAAAGTAGAGGGATTAAATCATTAGAAACTAAAGTTAAAGAACCAATCCGTTATAAACAAAAGTTCAATGATTTTTAACAAAAGTTCAATGACCAAAAGTGATTTTTATCGTACCATTCAAATAAATCATTTTTAAAATTGATTTCTTAAAACATGATAGATGAAATATTAATATATATATATATATATATATATATATTTTAATTTAAGAATATATATTGTTTGTTGTTACAAACCTAATATACTTTTTATATTGTATTTTTTTTTTTAACTCGATCTCAAAATATATATGGAAATAATAGTAAAACAAATCTTGAAAGCTCCATCCAAAATTCCCTTCCCAAAATATCTGAACAAATAATTTAATACTGTAATCTTTTTAGAACGAATTTATTTGATCAATTAAATGAAACAAAATTCGTTTGAGGGTTTGAAACCAATGAATTTTATCATAAAAGTATCTAATTCCACATTAATTGAATCTATCACATCATGGCATCAATTTTAATCACTCTTCTAGAAACAAATTTAATCAATTCAATTTCTACGAGTTTTAATTGGATATGACTATTATTGTACATTTTCTTCACATTAAAAATATATTTAATTAAAAATAAAACCCGTAGTTTAGGACATTAAAAGTTTAAGTCTTATTATATTCTTTGAAATGTTGCAATTATTATTACTATTATTTATATCTAAACTTCGAAATCTTCTAAAAAAAAAAAAGTCCTAAAACTTCTAAACGGTTTGTTTTAGTATTTAATTATTTATGAATCGAAATTTTAAACCGAGCTAGTGTAGTATATATTTAATATTAAAATATGTCAACTCGTGAAATAATATAATTTAAATATCTCTTCATCATTTTAAGATGCAATTTAAACAAAATTTGGAAAGATTTGATAAATTTTTTAATATAGGAACGAAATTGACTATACGGGTGAAAAAAAACCCCAAAAGAAAAAAAAAATCATACAGGTGCCAATATCCATCAAGTTAAGTTCACGTTGGCTTGAACTGAACTTAGTTAATTTGATTTGAACAGAAATGGTTTCATCAATTTAGGTGTGATGAAGATCAAACTTAGTTTTACTTGCTTGGAGTCGAGGCCAGCGTCGTTTGAGCATTTGTCAGACGAAAAAGTCTGAACAACATCTGAGTGGGAAGGTAGATAGGGAGGGAAAGAAAAACCCTATCCCGAAGGAGTTCGGGAGAAAGAGTTGGCTTATGGGTGGACTACGAGCGTGAATGGTCGGGCTGAGTATTTGGTTTGGACCCAAACCAGACCAACTCGAACCGCACATACCATAGTTGACAAATAATGTATTAAATTTAACCTATAGCTTTGTACCTCCTTCCAAAGTAGAAAAGAATGAACAACCTTTATCCCACCTAAAGAATATTTGTGGCTTTACAAAAAGGTGAAGTAGACCAACACAAAAGGAAAAAGGCTAAACATGATACTCAAAAAGCCAAAAAAAAAAAAAAGAATTCAGAAACAAGCAATTGTCAATAGTCATCTCACTCCATCTGTGAGAATCTTAGATGCCAAGATCCACAACCATATATACATGTTCACAGAATAAAATCTCTTGCTCCTTTTCAAATCTTATCCATGGCAGCCATATATGATATCATATTTTCATCATTTCTAACTATTATGATTATGAAGCAGCTCACGAACCAGGGGAAAAAAAAGCAATTGTCTTCTCAATTGATTCATAAAACATGACTATAATTACACTTGATTTAAGCGCTAAGTCATAGCAGCAGATGGTCTGATCTTTTGACCATTGTACAGAAAAAAAAGGGAAAAAAAAACCAGCTCATGATATCACAGCTATAGAGCTGATTCTTATTTCTTATTGCCCCATTGCTATGCAATATAGGTTTCACAGAAATCATGCTCGAGTAGAGAGAAATTAAGACTTAGTAATGAAAAGGCCATTCGGGGTAACTCATCTCGTTATCGTGGTAGTGATTTGTGGATGTGCCATTTCTGCGAATACCACTGCTGAAACGATGAAGTACATTTGAAGTAGTCCAGAAATCGTGTAATGGATTCCTCCTTCCCAGACCTAGTTGAGTAATCTCTCTCCCATTTGAGACTTCACCATTGCTGCTGCTGCTGCTGCTACCGCCACTCCAAGCGTGCCTGGTATCTTGTTGAGGCAGCTCGAGACGACAAACGGGGCAAGTGTTGTGCTGGACCAACCAAGGGAGGATACAATCAGAGTGATAAATATGATTACACGGCATCTCTCTTGCTTCAGATCCTAGCTCAAATTTTTCTTTACAGACTGGACAATGAGAGTCGGTGCCAAGGTGCATTTGGTTGATCTTGATTGTAGGCATTGCTTCTATGGATGAATGAGATGCAGGAGCTGGAACTGGATCCCTCCTCTCATTCATGGTAATCTGTGCACCCAACGCTTGCAGTCCCGAAAGTTGACTAGATCTACCTTCTGGAGCGACACTAGCGAAGGACGGACCGGGAACGTGTTCGTGGAATGACCAAAAAGAATTGAAAAAATCCAAATTCTGTCCTGGGACAGAACTGGATCTTCTCCTAACATCAAAGTTAGGATTTCTTCCAGCCATTCTCTCTCTGGTAAAAGCATCAACAGCTTCAAGAAGTCCAAATCTCGGATAAGGGCTTCTTCGCCCCATCAATGCAAACATGGCTTCAAAAATTGGAGGCACCTGACTTGAAAAATCTTCTTCTTCTGTGCCCAGATTAGTGTCATTTTGAATCGTTCCATCATGTAAATCGTTAAGTTCTTCAATAAAACCACCATTACAGTAAGGGCAAACTATGTCTTCTCCACCAAGCCAAAATGAATGGTTGCATTGATAGCACCAATGGGTGTCTTCACCACCAGACGACATCCTCCTCTCAAATGCAACAGCTGAAAGAAAAGCCTAGATTTTGTACTTAAATGTAGAGGATTCTGCAATGAGATGCTCGTTGGTTAAGAAAATCAATTATGAAGACAAAATAAAACATTTATCCACAATAGACTAATGTATGTGAAAAACTAATGTATAATAACGATCCATCCCATGAATAGCTTTTTGAAATCACAGAATAATTTGACCGTTCGTGGAACACAATTTGGAAAAAGAACCTAACAACATAATTAAAAATATAGTAAAGTACATGTCATGAAACTAAAAATGAAAGTTGCATCACAG